TATCATTATAAGCTTAAACCAAAAGTGAAGAATTGCTTCATCAATATGTGCTACTTTATCTATTAAACTAGCAATTCTTTCGAGGCCGCCTCAACAAAAACATAAAACCGGAAATGACATGGTTGCTAAGCAACAAGCTTATGCATAATCATGAATATTCAGTGACACCTGTTCTAATTAGACTAACAATAAAATCTTTTTGGTCGATTTTGTCAAAACTGAGCCAAAAGTTTTTATTGTTAGTCTAATGAGCACAGGTGTTACTGAATATGCATGAGCTGTAGCTTAGCAACCGACGTCATTTCCTGTTTTGTAAAATCCGACAGCAACTTGCTCTGAAAAGTTTCGTAATTTGTTGGTATCATGTGAATATATTTGGAAATAGTGTTTATAAGATTGTATATAGTAGCCTGTAATAGTGCTATATTCGAATCGAAGTGATTATAACATATTTTAATTCGATTATATACTGATTACTAATCATGAAATATATAATATTATTAATGCAATTACGACAAAGGAATCACACAATGATGTATTATAAATTACACTAAAGTTTACTTTTATTTCTCACATACTCGAAAATGTTACATCAGAACTATAACGTAATATAAATAGAATATAAAAGATTCTACTTTTATATAATATAATATAATATTATATAATATATAATGCTTAGGCCTAATTATATTTAAGTATCATATATCGTTCGAGAATTACTTGTTCGTTAAGAAACATATTGGCAAATTTGATTCAATTCCGGCTATCCAGTGATATAAATCCTAATAAAAGTGCGCGATTATTTGTAGAATCATGGAGGTATAATACCTTCATGGTAGAATTAAGACCACATAAATCCGGCTATTGATAGCATCTTGTGTTCTGGCAATCTGATACACATTGTGTTCCGCTGACAATAATTGTACATCGACTTCGCACTTATTGATGGATCGGTAGATTTGACCTGAGACACTGAAATAAATGAGATTGAACTAGTGAGAAATACATTCAAACTATTTTCAGTTTGGCATCTGTGTTAAGTTAGGCCTAATTAAGTATAAATCTCATTAAATTAAAAACACTTTTTGGAAACTATGACATTCATAGGTATAGGAATACAAATTCAGAAAATAAAATTGATTGTTTGATTGATTTAATACATTATGTAAAGTGTACATGTTAATAAAGCGTTATTTTAATATGAGTGGGTAAGTACGCTCCCCAACATTCCACCCCAAATCGGGAAAGGTCCAAATCTTAAGACAGTCGAAAATGTACTGAATACACATTGTTTTTGTAATAAAGCTTAAAAGAGAATATTAAATCTTAACATGTTAACCAATACTCTATCGGACCCCTGTATCGTTCTATAATAACAAAGTTGGGGTCCAACCTGCTTTTCCCCTTCACGGCATCTGGAGTTTTAGGTGAACCGTCCCCATTTGGTATGATCATTACATCTTACGTTCCTATCTGAGATTGTTATTATATTACTACACTAATTTAACTTTAACTACATAGGAAAATTATTTACCTGGTTCAATAGACTCTGGTCAGCTCCACAGCTCCAGCATGTAACAAGGTTTAGATTCCGTCCTGGTGAACTTGGTATTCATGGTCACTTTGGAGTGGAGTGTCGTCATACTACTGTAACACAACAAAAAAATAACAAGTGTAATCAATGGTAGCTACCTCATATGCACACAAACTATTTTTTTTTTGCTAAAAACATGTGTCGTCATACTATTGTAACACAACAAAAAAATAACAAGTGTAATCAATGGCAGCTACCTCATATGCACACAAACTATTTTTTTTGCTAAAAACATTAACATAAGCACTGAATAACAATAAACTGTAATCTATTACCTGCCAAATATGTAATATAATTAAACAGTCATCTCTCAGTTTATTATAAATATTTTATGACAAGCGTTGAAAAAGACTACAAGAGTAGCCGAAATATTCGCCAAATAGATTTTAGTGTTTCTAAAGTCAACATCTTACGTATTTGAGTTTCTTTACGGTTACGTTATATTTTATTCTACATATGTTTCGAAACACACGTGGACACGTCTTCTTCATATATGTATGCATATATCTGTCTCTTATACACATCTAGATGTGTATAAGAGACAGCCATTTTCCAAAACCGAAATCACGGAGGGTACGGACTGCAAATTGGCGCTGTGTTTGCCATTTATCACCATAGAGAAGATCGAATATACCTGAAATAGATATATCATGGCATTATATAAGGTAACATGAAGTATATTGCAAACATCTTATCGTAGAATCAGGATGATTAATAATAATAATAATAATAATAATAATAATAATAATAATAATTTACAAAGCGCCATTAATTTAATTCACATTTAATTAATTTAACCTCAAAAATTGATAAATTGCGTTTTTCCGAATCACGACAGACTGAGTAGATTGCTGGTATAAATGTAAACTTTTAAGATTATATAAATCACAGAAAATCATAAATTTATACTAAGTACATTCTCGACTGTCTTAGACATGTGGACCTTATCAAATTTAGTTAGGTGCATACACACCCTTCGCAACACCCCACCTACTGGATATAGGCCTACGTTCCTGGAAACTTTACATTTTACTTACCAATTATTACAGTAATATACTCTTATTAATTAGATATCTTCAAAACTTCTTAGTATTTTCCTTTAATTATTTTTCCACTTGGACGCTGTTTGATTTGAAATTCACATATAATGCATAATTCATGTCGTTGCTCTTCTTCCTATCCCGTATTCATTTTCAGTCTCTCAGTGCTCGGTGGTAATATTTGACTTTCTTTTTAAATGTCAAAGTGTGTTTTAGCTCTACAGTAGGAGTACAATTAGGCTACCGTACCCACTCCATTAAAGACTTGTTTATATATATATATATATATATATATATATAGATTAAAAGGCAAAATACTGAAAAAAAACAATGCTGTGAAAAATAATGGCTGGGTCTCGGTTTATATATGTATATATATATGTATATATATATATATATATAGACCTATATATATATATATGTATATACAGACCTATATATATATATATACTCAGTATAGAATATTTTGACACAACAACAATGCTGATGAATATATCGAAAAACGAATACAATGCAGGAAATATATTAAACTGTATAAATACACCAAGATTTTGAAAACATCAATGGCATTAGGACCACTTTATGCAGCGTTCTATTTTTATGAATGTGTATTTTTATGCGATTGTTATCGGCCTATTTAAATCAAAAATTATAGAATGCATATACAGACAATAATTTTGAGACCATTAACGGCATTATGACCATGAAATTATATATTTAGCGATTGTCCTAACATGTCTACTGTATATAATTTAAAATGCATTTTACGGATCGCTTTGAAGTCACTTAAATAATATTACACTTTATTAAATTAATTAAAATGATTTCACTTTGCCTACTTTTAAAGAGTACTTAGATTTACATTGTTGAATGTAGGTTTCATAAACATGTGCCTACGGCTATACGGTATGTCATTACACAACAAATCTTTAGCTCTGTTTTTTTTTTTTTTTAACTGTTGTTAACATTTTCACTCAGATATTCTGATTTAATGCCATTGTATCAAAAGGACTCAAAACAATTTAGAGCACAGTCTCCAGTCTGAAAATGTAGACCTGAATAACAACATAACAATGGACACCGCAATTAAATCTCACACCATGAAGGCATACAGGCTTGTACAACTACAGTATAGCACACTATCTGCTTACCTACAATATGTACATTTTCTTACTTAGAATAAACACCATTCCAAAATTCAATATTTTAAAAGATGTTTTTGCGACGACGTGTCTACGACACAGTTCCGGTAGTTCACATACACGCTTGCTTCAACCGTAATTTGAATATAATATGAAACAGGTGCATAACCAACCAGGTATCTGAAGAAAACTTGCTGCCAAAGACAGTACTGCCTACCAGGCTAAAACATACAAATTATTAGTTTAGCTCTCACCCCTTATTAGCGTCTACCCTCAAATTGATCTAGCACTGGGGCCGAAACGGTTTGCCGAAACCCACGATTGCCAAACCCATGATTGCCGAAACCCATGATTGCCGAATTAATGGCCTCTTTGTCGAAACCCAGTTTGCCGAATCCAGTTAACCGAAATCATGACAACCCGAAAGGTCCACTGATTAATCTCAGATAAGATACCGGTAGTATTTTTTCTCTATGGTATAATACATACTCCAAGTATCGAAATGCACACCATCATATCGGGATTCAATATTTCGACATTTATTATGTCATTAGGAATAACAACCCAGTTTGCGGAAACCCAATGTGTATAATAATTTGCCGTCACTATCGTACAAAAGTACAGCATACTGTGCTTTTGAAAACATGACGGGTGAATCAGGGAGGAGCCATATTTACATTCCCGTATTTGTACCCGTGTAAACGCTTCGCTTGGAATAAACGCCCCCTTGAATAAACGCCTCGTCTAGAGCCTCATTTGGAATAAACGCCTCTTTCGAAGACACTCTGTGGCGTATATTTTTCCTCGAATAAACCCCCCCTTGACTGTAAACAGATCTAATATAAACATTATTGCCAACACTTTCTATTAATGTTTTACTCCAGTAGAATTACATTTTTGTAACTTCAATAAGCTTTTAATAACACATTTTAACAGTAAGTGTTGTATTGCAACGCTTACTGTGTTCCATATTTACAGTTGAATTAAGGGGCGTTTGAGTACATTTTACACAAAAAAATAAATGCCTGCCTCGAACACCTCCATAAACTCCTCCTCAAAAACCATTCTCAGCAATAAACGCCTCAGGGCGTGTATTCAACGAAATCGTCCGGGACCAAAAATGATAATTTGCCTATCCATCGTTTTTTTGATTGTCAATTTCTAATATTGTGGTATTAAAAAAAAACCCTCCTAAAAAACACATGGATTTTTTTATGCCGGGACCCTGAC